CCAGCGGGACTTCAGTTCAAGCCTCCTACAGTGCAGGATCACAGCTGCTGCTCTGGGAGCACCAACCCCTCCAAGACCGTGGCCTAGCTTTAGGCACACGCATCTCAGTAACAGAAACCACTCTAAAGCAAATCCAGCAGCAGGGTTCAAATAAGCTAACCCATCTATTGCCAGTAGGCTTTTAGAGGAGAGCTGGAGGCTAATTAATGTCATTAGTGTGAATCCCAAAGGTGCTTCCCTATTGTCATCACCAGAGAGATCATGTTCACATCTACAGGCAGTTGGCACAGCCTGGCTAGAAACATGGTGACTACCAACCTGGTGATTTAGTACCATGTGAACTCCATGGGTTCGAATATCTGTAGAAAACTCCCCCAAGAACTCCAGGATGTCCTCTATAGTAGCAGCATAGGGAAGACCACGCAAACGTACGCAGTCTCTGATGTTAGTGGGAGGCACAAATTGTTGAGGTAATACTGGAAGAATAGGAGGTGTCGGGAGAGGAATGAGAGGAGTGGAAGAGTACCTGTTCAGCACCTGTGTGAAACAAAGAGAGAGGTTACAGAAAGCCTCCTTACTCATTCTTCAACTCGGAGGAACTGAATATCACACCAATGCTATCCGTTTTCACTCTGGGCAGTATTTTAAGAAAAAAGTGAACTAGATACTGGGCTTAAGCCACAGCAGCAGTGCTTAGAATTCAGATGTTTTAGAGTAAATCTTTGGGCTATTCTTTCTTGAAAAAGATTATTTTGTTTTGGAGCATTTACTTGAACTGTTATGCAACTCTCAGAAGACCTCTTAGAACATGAAACCTGTATTTCTACAATATTTTTATTGGGAAAAATATTGCAAAACATGCTACCATCTACATACTTATGGTTACACTTCTACCCAAAAATACCACCTCTGCAAGACTTCAGGACAGTCTGGGAACTAAAAGCATATTTCACTACCATACATCCCTGACTTGAGATGCAATAGTCTATCAAGTAACATAGGTGGTGTTACTGAGTCACAATATCTGTAACAGAGTCATGCTTTGAGATTTCTTGTTACTAATTTTAACAGTAAAACCCCTGCCTGGTCAAAAGTTCACTAAATATTCAATCACTATCCTTTAACTTTCTCTGAGCAAGATTAAGATTCATTTAGAATTTATACAGATATCAGAAGGTTTTGCTTAACAAAAAACAACCTTGAGAGCACTTGAGAAAAAACACAGTGACAAGAGTGAGTGTTGCAGCTATGCTTTCTTGTCATTAGTGTTACCCTTCAAAGAAAGCACTGAAATATCAATGTATTTAGGGGATCAGAGCTGCACCATCGCTCAGTTACCATTACATGGTTATTGGTTGGTCATAATTTGCATCAGATGAGACCTTTCAGAATCATGATTAGAAGTAAGTTAGTGACCTCAACTGAAGCTTTACAAATCTTTGGGGACATACATGCACAACACTCTCAGCCCTGCTTCCTTTCCCTGGCAGCATAACTGCAATTAATGGTCCATCAAACCATGTGAATGCAAGAGGAAGCATTCCTCAGGCCCAGTTTCAGAGTCCTACCACCCTCCGCTAGGTAGCCAGTGCTGGCAGAAGATGACCTGCCCTTAGGGGGAATTCATAAGACTCTTCAGATACATTGCTCTGTAGACAACTACATCAAAAGGCTCTGTTTTTCTGTGCCAGTGACTAAAGATAAGTCTTTTAGATCAGGATTTGTTGCTAACACTCCCTCTGAACAGACCATCATTGGACTTAAACAAATTCAGTATCTGTAGCGTAAAGCACTAGACCCTCGTAAACTTTCTGCTACAACTGCTGTCTGCAAGGTTATTGGAGGCCAAAACCTCAAATGTTTGTCTATGATTGACACCTTTCATATACCATAGGATCCTACATTTAGAGGGAGCAAAACCTCATGGAAATTCAGATAGTACTCTTTCCAGCAACAGTCAGGAGTTAGAGAAAAGAGGCTTTGAAGTCATGGCCATGCAGTATTTGCTTCCACTACTGTATTCCAGTGCAGGAGTTTGGATTACAAGAAGCCACTGTTTGTAAG